CCATATAGTTCCTTTTTCTTTTTTTTTTTTGAATGTAAAATTATTTCAGCATTTATATCTTAATGTTGAATATACTTGAGAAAAAAGAACCTCCAGGATATCTTAATATCTCCCCACTCCTCCCAGGTTAAGACTCAGGGCTCCAACCCCCTTTCCTCTGGGGTGTCATTCACTGACACAGGTGCTGACCCTCTCTTCCATAAAGGAGTTGTGAGAAGCCCTTATATTAATATTTGTCCTGACTCTCTCAGACTGTAGTCTTACATTGTTAAGGGCACACTGGATCTTTTGCTTGACTGATTCCTCCTTTCAGCTCTTTATATGTCAGGTAGAACTCATTATCCACACCACGTTGAATCCACCCCCCTACTCCATCCCACCTTCTTATTTCTGTTACTGTTTCCCCCAGTCTCCCATCCACCCCTCCTAAAGCATCTCATCCATCACCAAAGCCTGTTCAGTCCTCTTTTTCTTTTTCTTTCCCACAGTCATGATACTAATTTAAGCCCTTCCCCTGTAACTGATCTCTGTGCCTCCGTCTCTTTCCCTCTAATCCATCTCGTCCACAGTATTGCAAAAATAATCTTCTTCGATATCTTCCTTGGGTTTTTCTTTTGCCCACGAACCCTCGATGTCTCCCATCAGGGACAAGATCAAGTCTACTTTGCTTAGCCTTGAAACCTAAGACCTCCATACTCTGATTCTTAGGATCGTCTTTCACTTTTTCCTTATATGAACTATGCACATGTATTCATTCCTTTATTTGTATGGCATCCTATTACGTCCCAACTATGTGCCTGGCAGTGTCCTGGTTGCTTCTGAAAAACTGAACAGAAAAGTGCTTACCAATGCACGCTGTGATCATGGGAGCTCATGCTGCTACCTGGAGTGTCCTCCTTCTAAACCCTAAACCATTTTCCAAGACCGTTAAACATTCCTCTGTCCTCCAGAAACCTTTTCTGAGCGCCTGGGACCCTCTTTATAGTCCCTACTGGTCTTGTTGTCTGAATTAATCATTTGACACTTAGCAATTATCCATTCACTCCTCATTCAGTCATCAAACACACACTGAACACCTATTGTCTGTCAGGTACTATAATAAGTGTTGCCTTACATGTCAGTGTATTTTCATAGCATAATAAAAATAATATCAACAACAACTGTTATAAAGCTCTTGTCAGGCTGGGCGTGGTGGCTCATGCCTGTAATCCCAGCACTTTGGGAGGCTGCAGCAGGCAGATCACCTGAGGTCAGGAGTTCGAGACCAGCCTGCCAACATGTGGAAACCCCATCTCTCCTAAAAATACAAAATTTAGCCAGGCATGGTGACACACACCTGTAATCCTAGCTACTCAGAAGGTTGAGGCAGGAGAATCACTTGAATCTGGGAGGCGGAGGTTGCAGTGAGCCGAGATTGCACCATTGCACTTTAGCCTGGGCAACAGAGTGAGACTCTGTCGCAAAAAAAAAAAAAAAAAAGAAAAGAAAAGAAAAGAAAAAGCTCCTATGTGTAGGTACAAATTTATATATATTAATCCTTAAAATAACTTTAGAGGTAGGCATTATCATTAGTCAAAATTTATGATGGGAAAATCAAGGCAAAGAAATGTTTAACAACTTTCCTAGTGTCACAAGTTAGCAAGTAGCACAGATGGAAATCAAATCTGGCTCTGAAGTCCTTGATCCCCCATGCATCACTGTCAGGTATCAGTATATATGTCAAATGTGTGTGTGTGTAAATATAAGCACATGCATACCTTCCCAGCTAGACTGAACTCTAGAGGTCAGAGATGATATCCCGCACTTACTTGTATCCCCACTAGTCTATGCATGTGGTAGATACATGAATTGTTTGGATAATTGGTTGTTGGTACTTCCATTCACTGTTGAGGGGCTTGAGATTTTTAGCAGCAAGTAGGAGTGTTTGAGGTAGAAGGCGGAGAAGCAGAATTTCAAAATAGACCTGGGCATGATGGAATTCTTGGTTTCTAGTTTTTAACTCTGCAAGCTCTGAGCACAGGTTTGTGCAAGGAAATGTACTGATTTTGTAAAAGCCCTTGAAAGTGGAAGAAAATTCTTTTCTCAAAAAGCAAAATAAAACAAATCATATTATGGTTACATGGTTTCTCCCCCCAATCCTGTTTCCTGTCACACTGATTCATATCCATTTTGCTTTATTGGCTATAAAAACAAAGTTTTGGCATCAGGATTGCATATCTCGTTTTCTGGCCTAGTATTTCTATTTAAGGGTTTTATAAGTTGAATATGAACATTTTATTTGAGTGGCAATACTGCAACTACATATGTAGTTTAATAAAACCTAATAAGTACATATTTGAATTTTTAAAACACAGGTGGTGAGTTATTTGCATTTTAAAAGGATTCTTCCCTTTGTGAAAGGGTCCACTGCAGGTTTCTATTAAATATCCAATTCCCCTTAGTGCATTTATTTTTTTTTTATTTTTTATTTTTTATTTTTTTTGAGATGGAGTCTTGCTCTGCCGCCCAGGCTGGAGTGCAGTGGCCGGATCTCAGCTCACTGCAAGCTCCGCCTCCCGGGTTCACGCCATTCTCCTACCTCAGCCTCCCGAGTAGCTGGGACTACAGACGCCCGCCACCACGCCCGGCTAGGTTTTTGTATTTTTTAGTAGAGACGGGGTTTCACCGTGTTAGCCAGGATGGTCTCGATCCCTTAGTGCATTTATTATACGATTTAATTTACCAAAACGTGATTTATAGGCCACTCTAAAGGGGTGGCTCTCAAGTTCCAGTAAGCATGGGAATCACTTGGGCAACTGGTTTAAAATTGAGATCTGGCCCCCATTCCTTCCCAAAATTCTGATTCATTAGGTCTTAGGTGAAGCCCAAGATCTTTGTTTTTAAATAATCATCTCCAGGTGGCCAATATAGATCGTCAGTGAAATACACTTTTTGGGAAGCACAAGATAAGGCGCAACTGTAGGGGTTTTTACGAGGCTTGAATCCCCTCTTACTACCAAATGTCCTGTTCACTCTTTATCTGGCAAATTTTAAAAATACAAACATGGGTCAAATAAAGACTCTTCCATCTCTTTCATACTCACTTCTTCCTGCAGCTGCCAAACATCTTTAATCTCGGGAGTGAAATGTTTGCCCTTTTTAACGCTGTATTTGACTCTTAGGTAGCTCTTCAGATGATCTTTATCCTTGTTTTTTTTTTTTTTTCCCTCTCTTCTTTTTTTTTTTTTTTTTTGAGACAAGGTCTTGCTCTGTCACCCAGGCTGGAGTGCAGTGGTGCGATCACGGCTCAATGTAGCCTCAAACTTCTTGGCTCAAGCGATCCTCCCACCTCAGTGCCTACCCAAGTAGCTGGGGCTACAGGCATACACCACCACCCCAGCTAAGTTTTTAATTTTTATTTTGTAGAGATGGGGTTTCACTATGTTGCCCAGGCTGGTTTTGAACTCCTGGACTCAAGCTATTCTCCTGCCTTCATCTCCCAAAGTGCTAGGATTACAGGTGTGAGCCACTCTTGTGAGGGTCACCTACTGAATTCATACACCTGTTCTGTCCCTGTTTCCCTTGCCACATACTCCAACAGACATTTTAAGAACAGTTATTTCTATGGAAGTTTCTCTTAATCAAGTCTAGGGCCTTTTCTCCTGTCTTCTTACTATACCCTTCCCCCACAAAGACACAAAATGAATTTTTTGAACAAAACAAATCATGAGAATGACTTGTTTTGTCATGATTTCATTCTTCCATGAATATTTATTCTGGTCCTAGAGCAACAAATACTAAAATTGTCTATTTAAAATATTATTATAGTTTAATGAAATTTGTTTAAAAAATAGACCCCATGACATTTGTGGCACGTGTATCTGTGTATTTAACATATCATTGATCTTTTAAAAGTTGGTTGCTTGACCTATATTTTGTCTCTGATTACTTTTCTAAATCTCTAGTAATCTCCAAAAACATTTAGAGATTTCCATACTTTAGAGTTTTTTTTTTTCCTTTATTAATCCTCTATATCCCTGAATTTTGCTCAGAGTGAAGGTTCTCTGGAGTGATTTGGATATTGTCAAATATCTCCAGTAATAACAGAACCAATACAAGAGCAGATAACTGGTACAGTTGGTTCCTGGTTGAAAATCTTTTCTTTTTAATAGATTTATCAAGGCTTGTGCTTTCCTGAACCAAGAAGCTCTTAATATCCCTGTTTGCCTTCCATAATAATATAACCAGAGATTCTCTTATCTATTTACTTGGAATTTACATAGCTTTTATAACCATTCAGTGTTGGGCTAGTCCTCCCTGATCAAGTGTGGAGGCCTTTCCAGGAAAGATGGTAGGGGAGAAGTGGAAGAATTGGTGTCATTGTCCCTGGGCTAACATGACAGTGATAGAAACAGTTCCAGGTTGTCTGAGCAACTCTTGCAAGCAGGAACTTATTTGGTACATTCCATATGATTCAATTTTTGTAGAAAAGACTATCTAGAGGAAAAAAAATTGGATGGTAGTCTCTGAAAGGTGGGATTGCAACTGATATTTTTATTTTTATTCTGATGATTTTTCCCAAGTTTCTACAGTGACTGTGTATTACTATTATAAGTAATTTAAAAGAAAGAAACCAACTTTACCTGGCGTCTTAAGTCTGCTTCCCAAGGGACTTAATCTTTAACAGATCTATCACAAATCCTACTTATTGCACAGAACAATGGTAAAAGGAAAGTTCTCGAGATTAGGCCCAGAGCAGTTCCGCAAACACAAGACTGTAAGCTAGAAAGCCAGGCTTTCTGCCCAGTAGCAGGAAGGCTGGGGTGTCCATGCTTGTTGCATGTCCCAGGATATGTGCATGTGGAGTCTGTGATGTGTGAGCAAGCGTGTGGCCCTTGCCACTTCTTTTTCCACTCAAGAATTAAGATTGTATTGCTTTTGAGATTTTAACTTTGTCTTCTTTCTTTTTTTCTTTACCCTTCCCCATTCCTCTTCCCTTTCTCCCTTTTTCTCTTCCTCAGGCCTCTCCCACCTCATGATGAGTGAACAAGGTAGGTGCTTTGTGCCTGTGGTCCTGCAGCTGCCTGAACCGCTTGCCTCCCTGCCTCTGGCTGGTCACAGAGCCTCATCATCACTGGCAGGCCATTCGCTGCCTGTCCTTCCTGCATTGGGCCAGGCTGGCTGCAGGACCCTCCGCAATGGGGGTGGGGGCACCTTCCTTGATGCATCATGGTTTCCCATCCCCATTGTCCCCTTGGCTTCTCCATTCTCCACCGCCATTTGTCATTTTGGGCGCTGGCCCTGCTGGGCTGCATCCAAGAGGGAAGCATGAAACCAGGCATGACGGTGTCGATAATGGGGGTGAATGAAGCTAATTTCAGAGCAACCAAGCGGTTAACTTCCTCCTGCTCCTCCCTAGGCCCCATGCCGGGGCTCCAGGATGGGGGAGAGGAGCTGGGCTCCTCCCTGAATTTCCCTCTGAGGAACGGTTTGCTTTTTGTCTTCCCCTCCATTCCACTGCCCATAATGATCTGCTCTCCATGGTCAAAGGAAGCCCTTGGGGGTTTGACTGTTTTCAGTTTTATATAAAAGCAAAAACCACCTAAAGAACATGTTAATGTCCTCATGGCAGAATTCTAACTCATTATACACCCTGAAGAAAACTGCATATAAAGATCTGTAAATTCAGCATCTGCAACCTAAAATATTCAAATATGCAAGGAATGAACTGTGCAGGAAATTCAGCTCAGCTAAGCACAGGGTGGGCTGTGAATGAAGTCTTTTTCTCCTAAATAAAAATTTTCCACATTATCAGACTAAATCAGGAGTTGAGAGCTGAGCCTACTTAAAATTGTCTTTTCCTTCACAGTTCAATTGCTGCTATTGTGTTTCTTCTGAGCTTTGGGATGATTGCAAGATTGGTCTACCTGCCTTGCCCTATAACCAAAAACTCTAATTTTTCTTGACTATGTCTTGTTGAAATATACGTGGGACTCAGTACCTCTTTCGGAGGACCAAAGAAAAGGGGAAAGAGGGATAATTCCATATATTCCTGTTTTTCTTGATCTCATGAGGAGGGTGGGACTTCCCCTCCCCTGCTTCCTGACATTGAGTCCATCAGACATTTTTGACATAAAGGGCAGTATCATCAAATCAAGGAACTGCCCAAGGCTGGAAGAAGTTTGTTTATGGCATCCAGTTAGCTCTGGAAATGGGCAGTCAAGGGCATCCTGAACTGACAAAGCAAGGTAAGGAGGAAGCCTACTTTTCCAATGTAAATGCATCCTCCATACCTAAGCCAAGATCAGTGGTGTGGACTTCAGCAATTTCAGTAAAGAGATGATTTGGTAGAGAGCATATGTCAAAAAATAGAACTGGGAGAGGAGATCAGGTGAGTTCTCTAGTATTAGAAGGCGCTCCAGAAGAGGCTGAGATCAAGTTTCTATTCTTGCAGTTTAGCCGGGGAGGGAAGGGCCAACAGCAAGTGATTATGAGGGGGACATGAGTAGGGGATGTGCCTGATGTTGAGCAGTGTCCAGGTAGCTTGAGAGAGTCAAGCACATCTCTTTGAGGAACCAAGCTCTATGAATTGCTGGAATTTGATGACTCAACTTTGGTGACAAGTTACACCAGCAAAAGCAGACTCTTAGAGTCCCAATAACCTCCCCCTACATTGTTTTTTCCCCTCCTACATTCTTTAGCCTTATGCTTCCAGGTGCCCCTCAGGAGTCCTCCAAGCTTTATAGTAGCCTGGAGAACTGAGTGCATCACATCATAGGACAGAGTGTGGCAGGTGGAATAAGCTGATGGGGACTTCCTTGATCTTGATTTAGCTTATTGCAGACACACTGATGCAGCATGGATATCTTGGAAGGTTAAATCCCAACACTGGTATAAAAAACATTTGGACAGCCTATATTTTATTCCTTATGCACAACACAGAGCTTCAAATACAACCATGCTCTGGGGGAATAAGTCTGGTACCTTCTAGAAAGAGAGAAAGAAATAATGACAGACATGGATGTTGTGAATTCCTCTTTCAAGAGGTTTTCAAGAAAGGATGCAGAATTCTTCTGGGTGACTGGTGCTGCTAATATTTTAAGTTGTAACTTGAAGTTTATCTGTTTTTAAGGCGGTCCTTTGACTGCATTCCTCTTCCTTTCATTCTTTTTCATTTCCTATCCCCTTATCTGTTCTCACCCATTTGATGATTACCTAAAAAACTGATACTCTTCTTCTCACCAGTACTCCTTTCCTTTTCCTTATTCCTTCAACATGAAAAAAGGAGGTTTCTGTCTGGTTTCCACTGAATCTTATTAATTTGTTTTTGATGCCCATAAATATGTGTGGAAATATTTACATATGTTGTCTGTACACCACCTATACATGTATGTTATACTCTTGGTCCTCATAACTCATATTAATGTTAGGAAAATACAGGAGAACCTATCTTCTCTGAGATGTTCCCTAATCATTTTTACATTAAGTGCATGCAATTTCACGTACATGTGGCTGTGCAGTGCTTTTTGCATGCAGACTTTGTCATGTTTCTGAGGATGGGACTGAGAAGAAATGAATGGGATGGAGCTTAAACATGAAGCTGAGGGAGCAGCCTTGCTGGTCACAGCGTTTACTGCTTGTTTAAACTTCCACGTTGTATGTTTGTTTTGCGCTGCCTCCTCAGGATGTTGCAATGCTACTGCCTTTACTGTTGCGAGTTTTTGTTTTGTGTGTTTTACATCTCTTTGTGTGTCTGCAGTGTGCTGACGTTTGACTCTCCTTGCTCTCTCTGTCTCTCTCTCTCTCTCTCTCTCTCTTGCCGCCTCCATGGTGGGACACCATGCTTCCTCTACTTACTTGGACCTTCATTTCTGTAGGTAGAAGTAAAGGTAGAGCTCACTTTACTTTTATCATTATAACTATCAATCTGCGTCTTGAAATATTCATGCATCCAAGAGGATTGTCGATTCTGAATGCAGTCCAGATTATAAATTAGGATTGTCGATTCTGAATACAGTCCAGATTATAAATTAATGGTTTTAACAACAACAGAAAAAATAAGAATAAAAATAAAAAGCCAATGCTATCATTTCCCTTCAGTGCACTTCATGTTCAGTGTTTGGGGATGATTCTGTATTGGCCTGCCTCACTCTAAACTGAGGGCGGGCCTTCTGCATGATCTTGTACTCTTTCTAGCAGGAATGGGGGACTCTGAAAGTGGTTACGCAGTGTGGGGAAGATACATGTTACTTCCATGCAGGGTGTTCTAAGATCCCCTACTAGTAAATATATTGAGGGAACAGGGGAAGTATGAAATTATGCATCATTATTGCTATTACTTGAAATAACTGAATTTGGGGATAACATTGGTGGGGGAAGGATGGTAGACGAGAAAGGGAGAGTATTGGTGAATTGCCTGAAATTTTATTTAATGTGGAATTGCGAGGGGGGATATTTATTTATTTATCTTTTTTTCCTGTGTTGTATTTCCTGTATATGTGGGATTTGGAATTTTCTGATGGGGTGATGGGCTCAGAAGGGTGGGATTGGGAGGGTGTAAAAGAACACAGGAATGAAAATGTGTTATACAGTCAGGAGGAAGAGGAGAAAGAGGTAATGTAGGATTTTTACTTACAAAGCCAGCCTTTTGCCAGGTGGGCAGAGAAAAGGAGAGAGGCTGAGCGCGCGAGCTTGTGCCAGCACTCTGACATGCCTTTCATCGCGTCACACCTTTGGGTAACGCATCCATTTCTAATCAAAGCTCTCAGAGACCCAAGCCTAGAGAACCTGGCTCACCAGCTCAAATTGGATTAGTTGTTCAGGAGTGAAGGGAGAGGTTAACTGATAAATTATAAATATGTGTCTGCATCTAGTCTTCCCTGCTTCCTCCTTCACTCTGCAGCCCCTATCTCAATGAGTATGTGTGCTGTCTCTTCCTTCAAAGACTGGCAAGTAACAGAAGTAGGAAATGTGTTTTATGCCATGAGGATGTTGAAGAAAGAAGGGAGGAAAGAAGTTATTGAAAGCATGGATTCAATGACGTGTCTGTGAGCTGGCTATCTCTTATTTGAGTTTTATGCTTTTCTGGGTCTTTGAAAAGTTATGTATCGTTGCCTTGGAAGCAGTTCAGTCCTTTCCACTTTGGGGTTGGTTGATTGCCTGTTCCTTTTATGCAAATCCCAGGTGGCTTCATTCTCAGAAATCTGTCATGGGGAACCCTTACCCCATTGCTAAGTTGGTGTCTTTTGAAAGGAGGTAGGTGGAAAAGCGGGGAGAGGAAGAGGAATAAATGATTACAGAGCTACATCTGGCTGTATCTCCACCTCACCACTGACGCTACTCAGTGGAAGGCACTGGTGATCTCAGAGGCACAGCCACCAATCTGCCTAGGACTCAGCTTTTCTGATGCATGTGGCGCTGTTGCCTCTTCTCTCAATGGCAACGCATTAGAGTCAGTCTCTGTCTCCTTGTCTTTCCCTAATCCCCTACAACATCCCATAAAATAGATGTTTTAAGTGCTTTTTAGATTTTGCACGTGAGTATCTTCTTTCTCTGAGTCACTGCTACTACCACTACTAGAAGCTGTTAACACTTACGGAGTACTCGTCATGCACCAGCCATTGTGCTATATGGTTAATGGACTTGTCATACTTAACGCTCATAACTCGTCTGTGAGGTAGGTGGTGGCATTATTCTTGTTTTCTGGATAAGAACAATAAGGCTCAGAGTCAGATAACATAAGTTGATGACTACTAAGTGAGAATGGAACCCAGGATCTGTGCCCCTAACCCCTACTCTTCACTGCCTCTCCCGGATACAAGGGTGCCCTCCATGTTTAAGCCTTCTAGCTACCTCTTTACTGACCTGTCATAAGTTCCAGCCTACCACCTTGCATTCTCTGTAACATACGTCTATGTAAATGCCCCACAAAGGGAGGCACCTCAGTAGGCGCAAAGTCAACCTTCATATCATCTGCCCACAAACCAGCTTCCCTTTATGATGTCTCCCCGTTTGTTAATGCAGTTCCCACTCGCCTTATCACTGGGTGTGA